CCAAGAACATGGTGACGACGCACCTTGTGATAAAAGCCCACAATTTAATAAAAGAATCGAACAGGTGATTGCTCATAGGAAAAACAAGTTAAAGAGGTATGAAAATGCAGTAAAATGTTATATTTGTGGATGTTATTTGCACACCAGACGTAACTGTCCTGCTATAAAACGATTCAAGGAGGCACATGTAGTATGTTTAACAACAGATGATGAGTCAGAAAGCGATCCAGCTGAAGCCAATTCAGTTACCAGGTACGAAACAGAAGAAGAATGTAAAATATGTTCTAAATTCCATAAGGAATGCAACCTACCGTGTGGACACCTGATACCCATTCAGAACGCTAATCTGGCAACACACGGCCACGGTACTCTGAAATTTCAGAAAGGTCAGATCCATGGGCAAACCATATCACTCCTTAGGGACACTGGTGCATCTATTTCCGGAGTGCATCAAAGACTGATTAGACCAGAAGAGTTAACAGACAAATACATCAATTGTCGTACCTTTGGTGGTAGCATCGAAAGATATCGACTTGCTAACGTGTTTGTTAAAACACCATACTTAGAAAAGTTCATAACTGTTGCAGTATTACCATCCCCTTGTGCTGATTTGATTTTGGGAAACAGGGAAGATTTGAGAACAGTAACCGACAGGGACATTGTAGCTTGGGAACAAAAAAAATATTCCAAAGTATTGTCAGAATGAAAGTATAGAAGACAACTCCCCATATCCCAAAGAATGCTGTAATGTGAGTGAGAGTAAGGTTACAAAAGACAACCCTCCAAATCCCAGTGAGAGTGTCAACCCAAGTGAGAATGAAGATGCAAAAGGTAACACTCCATACCCCAAAGCAGAATGTGTGGAGAGTGAAAGGAAGAATGAAAATCCAAACACAAAAAAAAGGCCAAAGAATGAGTCAGAAAGTATGGAAGAAAGAAGCAAGAAGAATAGCAGTCGTAACAAAGCCCAGCACAGAAAGAAAAAAAGTGAAATGAATGAAAGCGAAGGATGCAAGAATAAACAGCCTTCAAAGACAGAAGCTAAGCTTGGCAGAAAAAAGTGTGTGGTAACAAAAACAACAGTAACTGAAAACACTAACAACACAGAAACAAAACACAGGGTAGATATACATCAAATGAAACATTCTATTCTCTGTGATTGTTGTAAAAAAAATTGCAAATCGCTGAGTCCTAAAACAAAGAAACGATACGATATGTTAACAAAAAAGTATCATGACAGTTCACAAAAGAAACACCATGTACAGAAACGTCAGAATAGTGCATCACATTATACACAGGGTTGGATGTAAATACTACACTTTATTTTAATTATATGGCAGATTGTTTTGACGACATTCCAGACAAAGAACTTAGAGTTATTCTATACTATTTATGCCATTCAAATAGTGCAACTTTTGGTGACTGGATATCCTAGTCGGAAAAACTTCAATTCACAAGTCTTGGTGATTATCAAAAGCTATCAAATTCTCAAAAGTGCTACACTACTTGCATTGCTACTACTAAAACTATTGCTTCTACACATGGTTTATTCTAAACACTTTCCTCATTCTGTGATTACACATAGAACTTGTCGGTAACAGCAGTCACATACAGCAAGCAGATTATTTTAATATATTGTGATATTAGGTAAACCAGTCCACTTTAATCAAACAGTTTTAATTATGTCTGTATACATTAGCACGGAATTAATTATCATATATCGGGTTTAACAATATTTAGAAACCACCCATTATAGTGTGTCATAAAGATGTATTAGTTATATCAAAAATAATAGTAACATGTGAAGAAAAAAGACAGGTGCACACACAACATAAGCAGCGAATGTTTGCAAATAGAAATACCAAACTGATGGCCTTCGAACCCGGTCAAGAAGTGTGTTGCTACCAAAAGATTCAGATAAACTGTGTATCAAATGGCGTGACCCATATACGATTATTCCTATAAAGGGAAATTGAAAATGTATAATGTTAACATGATGAAAAGTTATTTAGAAGAAATTTTAGTAATGATTTCATATAAAAGGCCAATGCAGATGATGATGTCAATGTTTGCAACGCCACCAATTATGATAAAACCCGATCTATCTAGAACTTTCTACCTACAAACTGACGCTAGTGGTCATACCATAGCCGCGATGTTGGCTCAAAGGCATTCCGGTACTCTTCTTCCGGTTCTATATCTTTCACAGAAACTTAATTCCACCCAACAGAATTACAGTACTTTCGAAAAAGAGGCTCTCGCTCTTGTTATCAGCCTTAAAAAATTCCAAAAATTCTTAATAGGAAAGGAATTCATTATTCTGACTGACAACTTAGGCCTGACAAAATTGTTAACAATGGATGCAACAAATAACGCAAGAGTATACAGATGGGCGTTATTATTATCCCAATTTCAGTTCAAGATAGAACACATTAAGGGCATTGAAAACCATCTACCCGACGTGATGTCCAGATTATAAGCATAGATTCAATTTTGTATTGTATATATTACCTGGGGAAATCCTGAATTACAGGAAAGAGTATGGTTGAATGAATGAAATATGTAAACATAGCTTAACTGATGATTTTTATGTATGTTACATTTGTAAGTAAGTAACAATATACGTGTAATAATGATGACTACGAGATGAAGATGACAATAATGATGATGACGACAACAACAATGATGATGATGATAATGATGATAACGATGATGATGATAATGATGATGATTATGACAATGAAGATGTTACAGCATGTTGAAATAAAGTTTAATAATGATTGTATATGTTGTTTATGTAAACTTATTGGTGAAAATATGGATTGTAAAACATGTAATAGGGTAATTACTATGATATAGAAAGGGAATAATAATACTTTTTCGGAAAAATGATGGGTAATTTACACCACATAATCCAAGGGATTGGGTTCGAAATCCTAAATAGGGAAACATATATCTCTAATTGAAACGTAAACCAGTGACAGTAGCCATAAGTCCAACGGTTAGGGTGGGACTTTGCGGGTTTGCTACATTTCTGTTCCATAGCCGTTATGGACTTCAGTACTTGAAAGAGAGTACCAGAATTGTTGTTCTGTTTTATACAGACTGTGGGATGGGATGGGGTTAATACGCAGAGCCTATATGGACTACCGCACTTGGAAGAGAGTGCCAGAATGGTTGATTCCCATTAAGCCACTTGGTACTTATTGGATACAATAACTGGTAATGTGACAAAGGGAAATAATGTAAAACCTATCAAAAGGGAAATAACCACCAAAACCCAAAATGATTATAGGTAATCCACATCATTACATTAAAGTATTCCCAAACCTTTAAAATTATAACCTAAAGATAAAGTAATAGAAAAAAAATTTCAGGTTAAATTTTTTTTACTAGAAGGGAGGGGGAGATTGTAATGTTGTGAATTCCCGGGGAAACCCCAGAGAGTTCCCGATGGGGAGAAAAAGGTCGGAGGACCCGTGAGAGAAGAGAAAAACGGGAGAAGTGAGTCTCGTGTGTCTCATGGTGAATGAAGTGAGAGACACAAGAAAAGCATGAGACGTGAACGGAAGACGTGAACCGAGAGACTGAAGTAAGACAGTTAAAGTTCGGCCCTGACTGAGAGAGGACGCGTGAATGAACGCCTGAGAAGAATAAATGATTTGTGAAGTGAACGTTATATTTCAATAGGAGGACTGAATGTTTTTCCATACGTCGTAATGTCAGATATCAGAGTTCGTGAAGTATAGATGGATGGTTCGAGAGACGCTGATAAATTCCTGTAGCGTGTGGGAAGTCCGACCAGGTCGCTAGATTCAGCCAAGCAAGTCGAGCACGAGGAAGCATGAATGTATGTTTGCGATAACTGGCGATTCAACGAATAAAAGCAAAGAACTCAATATTCGTTCATGCTGTGTCGTTTCAACTCACTGTTCGTCTGAAAGCAATGTAAACAACACATACCCCTAGATGAGCACATTACATCCTTCGATAAATTTGCTCATGTCCTATTTAAAAGACTATTTTTATAATTACCTGATCTAGAGATAGAGGAACAGGACATTTCTATTCATTCTTTACCTTAATAAATGTTTTAAAGGGGCATGTTGCAAATATTTTTTTTTTTTAAAGTAACAAAGCCAGACCAATTATTTGTTAACGGTTGTAGGGCATTCTCTTTAGCCGACCACAAATGACGTCATAAAAAGTTCAATTTTTTTAGAGGGTGGTAAGAGCGGGTTTTCGGTGTTTTCTGTGCTTTAACGCGTTTCTTCCAATGCCAAGGTTTTTGCACGTTTCCCTGACCCTAACCTTAACCAAAACATTACGCCTAATCTGACACCCCCTGACAAATTTGACTGTGCTGTAACTTGTACATTTCCTGTTTGTGCTCATCTTGAGAAAGAAAAACGGTCGTTTTTAAATGATAAATATTGTTTCATTTTATTAAATTTAATTTGTGCAAAAATCATGGTCTTAGAAACAAACTTAGGCATTGAAAAATATAAATTAATTTATGAAGTTTAATCATATTTTAAGATAATAAAATAGTCGCTTTTCTTTACAAATGTTTCTAAATAAGTGTTTGCAGATTTTAAATTAAAGGTTTGTCAAAATGTAACATGACAAGGCAATAAAACTGAAAAAAGAAAGAAATTAAACAAATATATCGTTGTATCGCCTAGTACCTATAATATCGTCGGTGTCTGTGGCTTAGGTGTTGCGAACGCTCTTCGTAATGCCGGAGTGCCTGGTTAGATCCCATCTGAGGGCCTTGCCTTAGTTTCGACAGTGGTATCGAGAAGCCGACCGTCCAGTAAAATGGCAAACTACTGGACGTAAATACGCCTACAAAAACCACAATAGCCAAAAAAATGCTAGGGTTGGTAACAGGTATCGAACCCGGCACCCCAACGTTCGCAACGCCTAAGCCACAGACGTCTAATTATTCAGACGACGCCGACTTATTATTATTAATAAATAACAATTTCTTCTTTCAGAGGGGAATATCAAAAATGGCTTCCTCGTGAACTGGTTATAAGCAAGTCGATAGCCAACACGACCGGAAGCGACATCGACAGAGATTATCACTCTGATCCATCAAACGCATCGACATGTGTGTGTAATATGAGTTATTATCAACTGTACGGAAAGAAACCTCAGGTCAACAATGTTACATTGTATGTAATTTCCCACGACGATTTTAATGGCAGACTTGGAAACCAGATGTTCAAGTATGCATCTTTACTTGGCATTGCCAGGGCACAGGGCAGAGGTCTGTTCTTTCATCCAGAAACAGATTTGGCAAAGACTTTCAAGATAACAAACATAGCTGTTAATGAAAGTTCAAAAAGGCAAGTGTCCTACTATTCCAGTCACAATACTCGATCATCATCGTGTAGACCTTTGCAGAACGTCGCTCTCAACACGGTCTGCCTGAAAGAAACTCAGTTTCTCGCCAGATCTCCCGCCTCATGCACTTTCATACTCAAGGAGTCTCTTATATCCTGTGCCCATCTTCGTTTTTGTCAGCCCCTGCTCCTCCTTCCTGGTACCATGCCTTCTGCTATAATTTTTTCCACTACTCAGAAAACATAATAAATGGTGTCCAGTCTGTATTCGATGCTAATGGCTACGATTACTATTACTTAAACTGGTATTACTTTTACTACTACTATTACTGCAGTATCTCAACATGAATAATACTAACACTACTACCACATCTATTACAATTGTAGATAGAATTTATACTAAATATAACACCGCTACAATAACCACTACGACTTACTACTCCATTTACTACTGCTACCACAGTTAATACTACAACATCAAGAACAACAGCAGTAACAACAACAACAACTAGTACAACTACTACTACTGCTACTACCAGTAATACTTCTGCTACTACTACAGCTGCTAATATTACTATTACCACCACTATTACTACTAATAAAAAGGAAACTCTCCTTTCAGACAATAACATCTGTTCCTCCCCCCTTCGCCCTTTCACCTTAGTAGACACTCGATTCTTCACAGGAAGGTAAAATTGGGTTGAATTTTCATCTACCTCATCAAATTACTTTTGTATTTATGTATTTTAGTATTAGGCAGTATCTACATTGTTGTGTACGATATAGTCGATTTATAATGTGTCAATAACGAAAGGATTAATTATTCTCCCTCTATTTATTATGGGGAAATTCGTTTGGTACACGCACTGTTTGGTATACGCCCAAGGATCAGGAGCAGATTAAGTACGCATATCGAGGTACCACTGAAAGTATGTCTAGGCCGAAGTGTGCTTTTTGTTTGTACACTCTTTCATGACAAGCTGTCAAACTCACATGCTGCACACACATGCATTATGAATGTTTTTCAGTTTTGCGCTTAACGCTTTAATCAGTCGTTGTATAAAAAATTTAGGTTTGTAATGATAATTTATGCATTGTGGGTGCTCGTTACCTAATATGATAGACTATTATGCATGTTTAGTGTACTACATATGTTATGCGTTTTTCTTTCAAAAAAGCCTTTCTATTTAAAACTACTACTGCTGCGACTACTACTCATCCTCCTGCTTCTACTACTACTACTACTACTACTACTACTACTACTACTACTACTACTACTACTACTACTACTACTACTACTACTACTAGTAGTAGTACTACTACTGCTACTGCTACTCCTACAATTACTACTACCGCCACTACTACTACTACTTCTACTCCTACTACTACTATCAATACTACTACTACTCTTCCTGTCAAAATGGACGCTAAACAGGGGCACTGTTTGGAGCCTAGGCAAATTTTATGCTTTTGCCAGACGGTGGCCGTTGCAGTTTTGCTCTATTTGTAGACTGGATATAGTTTCGTCGCCCAGCTTCTGGTTTGAATGCATGACGTGACACAATAAGCTGCAGCGTTTATTTGGAATGTTTTTTCGACTGTGACCAACGTAGTGGTATGAATTGTAGATTCAGAAGATAGCACTAAATCCGGTCGTCGCAATGTTGGTGGTGCCTGTATGTGATTACAATTGATCGCCTGTGCAAAATGTTTGTATTAGCACTTCCGATAGCTACAGTATGCGTTAATGCGTTTTTATGTTAGATATGCTGAGACAGCAGTCTGTCAATCTCTTCACAAGAGACTGTGATAAACATTCTGTGTGTTTTTCGTTGGCACAGGAGCGGAGCAACGATGGGGTGACCCGTTTGCTATGAAGCTAAAACTAAGATCACCAGACTACCAGACTACTACTCTGCTGCTGCTGCTTCTGGTTTCCACAGTGGTGTAACTACATACTGCTATTACTAGTTCTACTTTTACTACCAATTCTACTGTTACTATATAAAAACAGAAGTTAGCTGTGTGTCCTTTACAGGACTTGCAGAACCCGCTCATTTAATGTTAAAAAAAAGGGGGGGGGGAGGAGGAGGAACTTAAACATGCCGGCATGACGCTTTCTTAGTTGTCGGAGCCTTTCCAACCTGGGCGATGCTCCAGAGGTTTTCTTTATATACCCTATACAACCAGTGCAAACCTATTAAAATAACTCACTGTCACGAGACGATAGTGTCACTTGTATGGAAGACACTCTGAAGTGATAAATATATATATATATATATATATATATATATATATATATATATATATATATATATATATATATATATATATATATCATTGAGATGGCGGCTCGTATTGGTCCAGGCGGTCTCCGTAGCTCCAACAACTATCCAACACCACTTAAGGTATGAGGCGACTCAAGTGTTTGGCTCCACAGAATGTCTAAAGATATACCTGGGCACGACTTAGTCAACCTTCCTTACCACTTGATAGTCCCCAGACTAGATATGATCACCATATCAGTAAAACAACCACAGTATCAATAGAAATCTGAAACGTGCATTTAATAATATTGCTAATACAACCAACGGAATTGGATTTATGCTATATCTGATGAAGATAGGGACGACTTTTATTTAAACAGTCTCAAATGTTGTGATGTCGTTTCTTTCCCTAACTCAGCTCAGTCCAGACCCAAAGCCATGCTAGAAAAATAACCTGGGTTGTAAAGGTGGCCGGTGTGAGCGTAATCCTATTGAGTGCCTGTTGGTCTGTGAAAACAGAAGTCTAGCATAAAATGAGCGATGTCCGGTCCTATGGCCAGATGAGGGAGAAGAAAGCTAGCGATCCCACCATGTAAAGACAGCAACTATAAAACTTTTATTTAACTACCCATTTATGCTAACAAAACAAAAAATACACAAAGTTCAACCTACTGCGAACAGTATTGGCTGTAACCGTGGTCTGGTTTCTTTGTGTCAAGCATGGCTAAGAAGTGTTAATTGCCACCAAAACGAGTGGTTTGACCGGTAATCTATACCTGGTGAGGGTTGGAGAAAGAGGTGGGGCGGGGCGCGGGGCAGGGGAGCTGGTGTTCACGATAAACAGCACTCTAGTGCTATTTAACTCTAGTGTTGATGGAAGACGTTTGAGGGGTGGGGGCTATTGTGCATGAATATAAGTGCTGATGGAATACTGTTGATGGGGTGGCGAGGGCAGAAATGGTGTCCATGGGCATCAGTACCCACCCCTTCCCCCCATTCCCCTCAACCTCCTCGTGCTATTAAACTCTAGTGCTTAAAGAAGATTGTTGATGATTGGTAGGGGTTGGCGAGAGCAGGCCTGGTGTGTATGAGGATCAGGAACCCCCCCCCCCCCTTTTTTTTTTTTTTGGCTATTTATTCTAGTGCTCAGACAAGATTCCTCGGGGGTGGGGTTGAGTAGGAAAGGGGGAACCTCAAGGATCAGTGCCCCTAGTGCTACTCAACTTCAGAGAAATTAAGGATTTGTAATGTATTAGTTTGATCTAACTGATAGTGGCTTGATGGTTTTGACATACTAGTACAGCTCTGCATTCTAATTAACAGTATACATATTTACACACACACACACACACACACACACACACACACGTATATATATATACAAATTAATATGTATATTTATATGTATATACTTTCATACACTCAAGTAAGCCGCCATGGTGTAGCGGCAAGATGCTGGCTTGCGATTTGGGGTTTTAAATTGACCTTGTCTTCTGCCTTCATTAGGTGCTAGTGTTGTATAGTGTATTAACTATAGTTTTACAATATAATAGGCCTTTCTGTGTCTGTATCTAATGTTTAAGAAAGTTACTATAAAATATCCGGCCCTTTTTGTCCTTGCCATAAGCCATTCTCAATTCACCCTTCCTAATCGTTTATATTTGTCTCTATAGTTCATTTTACATATCCTTATTATAGGTATTTGTTTTCACCAGCCCACATAACCACTCCCCCCCCCCTCCTCCATCCTAAAAAAATGGGGGTTCCCAATAAGACGGTGTTTATAGATTTCGTTTTATCATTCTGAATTATATCTCCTCTTAGAGCTAATCAGAATCAAAATGTATGATCTTATGAAACAATGTTATATCATCCATCCTTTTCGTTTCATCCTGATCTACCTATTTTGTGTTACTGCTCATCTTCAACTAATATGACTGGTCCCACAAAATAAATGGCTCGAGGACGAAACGACATGGCCTGGGTCTGTTCCTTCCACAAGCGTGAGTGCATGAGTGTCATTGAACCCTAGCAGGACCGCTCAACGAGCGATTAACACCTGGTGACACAAAATTCCACCATTAGGCTGAGAATCCCCTATAGCACGTTCTAGAAACCTCTTTTAATCAGTAAGTTTTTTTAGGGCTCCGACAACAGCTGGGATGGGCTTTAAAATAAAAAAAAATAAAAATTGTATTATTTTTTTTTTTAAAGTACTTCTACTAGTCTCCAATTCTCAATTTCTTTTAGGAAAAAACAAATCAAAACCTCAGCCACGTTCAACCTGCTGCTAGATAGCCGAAGCGTCAACGGTCTCTGGCTATATTTGTGATCTTTATTTTCGTCACTTTCGTGGAGTCTATGTGAAAACAAATGGACTGAGCAAACGAGAACATCCGAGAGAACACCTATTACAAATGTTTTTTTTAAAGAGACCAACAATTCTGCAACGATAACTTTATTTTGATTTAATTGTTTTTGCGACAGATCAAGAAAATATTATTGTAGAACGATTTGTTATGCGAAAGTGTCAATTTTATTTGCAAACTGATGAATGTCATTTGCAAAAAGGTCAATGTGATTGCAAAAGCTTGAAATTGGTTTCAAATTGGTAAATGTTTTTGCCGTTCTCCCCCTCCCCCTTTCCCCCATACACAAACCCACCTGCACCCACACACCCACCCACATACACACACACACACACACACACACACACACTCACAATCAAATTGTGTGTCATTTTATAAAAGCAAATTGTACTTCTCTACAATAGTTTTTTTTTTTTACTTACAGATGGCCAGTTATCTCGGAAGTTGGTATTTTTGAAGAAAAAATGTTCAAGCTACCCATCTATGATGTCAGAATTATGGGCTACCTACAATCATTTTGGTATTTTTTTCTTGTCAGCGATGAAGTCAGACAAGAGTTTACTTTCCATGATTCCATCGCCAATGCTGCTGCCAACATTCTTCACGACGTGGGTGAAAAATATAACTTCACAATGACTGTAGGAGTCCATGTGCGTCGTACTGACTTTCTTACAAAAAAGCTTCAGCGACTGGGCTATGCAGCTCCAGACAAATCATACTTCATGAAAGCTTTCAGTCTGATGAAGTCAAAGTTTCCGGGAAGAAAAATCTCGTTTTTAGTTGCCAGCGATGATCTTCCATGGTGTGAAGAAAACCTATCAGGCAATAACGTTATTATAATGCCAAAAGCATCACCAGCTGTTCATATGGCCACCTTGTCCAGCTGTGATCACGTGATAATATCTGGTGGTAGTTATGGATGGTGGAGTGGATGGCTGGCTAACGGGTATGTTATATATTTTACTGGGTACATGAGGAGCGGAACGCCTTTTGGGGACTGGTATAAAATAGATCAGTATTACCCTAGAATGTGGATAGGGCTGGGGAATTGAAAAAAAAAAAAAAACTAGCTATCACTCTGCATTTCATAAAACGGAATCCTATCATGTTTATTTTGTTAAATCCTATTGCAAAAATAGTTATGCTTAATTAATGTTGCTAGCTTGTTGTTTTACTGGTATTATAGGCCACAGTAGCGCAGCAATAATGTTCGAATTTTTTTTTTCAAGATGTCATATGATTTTAAGTAATCCACACAGCTAAAATGTGATCTCGTAAAATTTTTGGCAGTTACAGGTGGCAGTTATGATACTGTTCACCTATATTTTATAGAATGCATATTTCTATTTTAGAAAGTATGTCCCATACACCCCATGCTTTCTGCATGAGAACGGGACATAACCTGACGGCTATGACTAACAATACAACAGAAATAAAGCCATTCGTTACCTGCATTATAACGTTCCATCACTTGCTAAAAAAAAAAAAACATTATCAGCAAAAGATACCAGGTGCAGTCCTGGAAAGTAAAGACGGCCGGCATGATGTTGACCGCGTCATCCCTCAAGTGCCGATTGGTCTAGAAAATATAAGTCCAGCCCAATGCGCCAGAAGAGTACTTTGCTTTTTTTTTTGTTTTTTGTTTTTTATTTCACGGAATGCAACCCATCATTCCCCTGACTAACTTTGGGTTCAGCGGGTGTCTTAATCACCCCTTTATGTTTCGTTTTTTTATTTTTATTTATGTAACCTATCTGTTGTGTGAAGATTCTGTATTTAATAAAATAATTTTTTTTGGAGAAAATGTATACGCAGCAAACGTGAGCAAGGCGCGTAACTCAAGCCGCTGGCGTGAACCTTTGGGGAAGTCTGAAGTTAGTGCACGTTTTCGACTTATTCCTAGGGTGCGGGCTATCAGGACTCCTAAAGGCTGATGACTGTTGGTGGGCGATGCGTATGTTACATTATTCGTTCGTTCGATCGCCCATCACGAGTGATGAAGACCACATTTCATCCTAAGTTTTAGTGCTCAATGATTATGAGTGCCAAGGCGGCTGACTAGTCTAATATGGGCATGGAAAGTTCTTGAGCAGTGTGCACAACAGATGGAAGCTGCAGTAAGTGTGGGATGAGCGATACGGTTCTTTCTAGTCTGCCTCCGTTTCTCTATCTGTACAACTTCCGCTGCCTGGCAGACTGATGCTCTGTGCACCATTCAAATCGGTCCTGTGCAGCAGCCTCCCACGTCACTGTGTTGATGCCAAAAGAGTTAAGAGCAGTTTTGAGAGTGTCTTTTTAGCGCTTTGTCTGTCCTCTATGGGACCTCTTCCCTTGCCTGAGCTCCCTATAAAATACTCTCTTTGTGAGGCAATAGTCTGGCATTTTAGCTAGGTGACCAGCCCCACGCAGCTCATATATCTTCAGCATTGTGTGGATACTAGGCAGGTTTGCCCTATCAAGATTACCTGTTTTTGGTATCCTATCTTGCCATTTGATTTTGAGCTGCTTTCTAAGACAAGTTAAATGAAACTGGTTGAACATTTTGGCATGGGGCTGATACACAGTTTACGTTTCGCAAGCATAGAGTAGTACTGAAGAAATTACAGCTCCATAAGCCTTTAGTTTGGTCAACATTGAGATATCACTTCTATTTAAGAGGCTTGTATAAAGCTGCTGCTGGCCTTTGAGATTCTAGCGTTGCTGTTGTCGTCGATGGTGACTCTGAAATACGATGCTGCCAAGGTAAGTGAAACTATCGACTAGATCTAGCTTTTGATCATTTACAGTGATAGTGGGATCACAGTAGCTTTTTTTTTCTATGGGAGACGGTTGATAGGTAACAAAATTTTTATCAGTGTTGATAGTTAGCCCGAAGCTAATGGAGGCTTCAGAAAATCCATTGATGATGTGCTGCATACTAGCCTCAGAGCAAAAATTTAGAGTGCAGTCGTAAAAAAGAGTTCCTAATTGTAGTTGTTTTAATTTTTGTTTGAGCTCGAAGCCTCCACAAATTAAACAAGTTGTCACCTGTGCAGTAATTAAAGCAATTCATAGATCATTATCATCAAAGGCATTGACAAACACTGCTGCAAATGTCATACTGAACAAGGTTCGCGAAAGCACGCATCTCTGCTTTACGCAAGGGAGAGGGTTCTATAATTGTCTCTTCTCCAGCACTCTGGCCTGCATACCTTTATGGAACTGGTGTACAATCCTTAAAAACTGATAAGGACAGCCACATTTAGCCATGATTTTCCACAGTCCTCCTCCATTGACTTGACATTGACTTAGTGAGGTCTATGCAGAGAGAATAAAGGTAGCAGTTTTGTTCTTTCCCGGCAGCTATCGAGCAGCAAACATCATGTCATCGGCCCCTCGCTGCTTTCGGAAACCATATTGACTTTTATGCAGGCCCTAATCAAGATGCACTGTAAGACGGTTTAAGAGAATTCTAACGACGATTTTACCAGCAATAGATAGAAGAGAGATTTCACACACACCTGGCGATTTTATTTACGTTTATACAAGTTTATGATTGTTGCATCTTTGATGTCTTGTGGCAGTGTTTTTGGTGCCATATAAGTTGCAAGATTTGGTGTTGTTTCTCAGTTACCATTTTCTTTGAAAACTTCTGCCGGTTTCGCATCAAGACCAAGAGTTTTAATACTACAGAACTGTTATACTATAGTACTTATAATAAAAGGTGGATCGTCTTGGGACAGAGAGACAAAAAAAATGAATATTATCAGACGTTATTCTATGTCTCCATATGTCCACAATGACAGATGGACACCTATCTATTTGACTGCCCCTGCATTCTTATGAACTCGTGGGTATTTGACAGCAACACCACTTTTGTCTGCTTTCCTAGCGAGCATAGTCAGACATACTGAGCTTGTAAAGGGTTGTTAAATCTGACGCTGTGACAGTATACTTATATAATGCCTTATTCAAATAAATAAACTGCAGATGCTGTACAAACATTATATATAATACATAATCAGACAATGTATTGATCGGCACTCATAGAAATAAGTAGAAAGATAGGACAACCTAGACAATGTAAACATCGGAAGCAATATTGCAGTCACAGTAACTATAGATTTTGATTATTATGTAATCTATTTTGTCCTTATATCTTTCTATTTCTATCTGTGAGTGCCAATCAATACATTGTATATTTATTTATTATATATATAATATAGTGCCTTGTTGGCGATGTCAGTTAAATGTCTGTGTAACGGCTGCAGCCGTGTCTGGGTCGGTCCTTGGATGAACTAGCGACGTGCGGCCTGTATTGCGAGGAACTTAATTTATTTTCTAGCCTACTTGATTTAGTTCGGCTGACGGTATTTTGGCACCATTAGACATTTTCTGGATATCATCACAGTAGAGTCAAATCCTGCTGTTCGCCACATTATCGCAAGAATGTACATACAATCCACCGACGGCTTGTGAGGTTCTACCATAGTGATAGCCCTGCTCAAGATCATGAGTCCACCCCCTTTCTCCCTTTCTCAGTTTCAGCTTTAGCTCACTGTCCACTGGTAGGTAGGTAGATGTACCACGCCAGGACATCACACAAGCAATAAACACCCGGTGACACATCGTGCCACCATTCGGATCAGGATCACTCGTAGAGAGGTCCCAGAAAGCCTTTACCGTGGTTCAACCATATTTATGGCTAGGCCATATTTATGGCCCGGCTATATTCAAGGGCCCCGGCAAAAGCCATGGTGAGGCTTCAAAATAAATTGTAATTTCGAAACCACACCCAAGACACATCTGATCGTTTAAGCCAGCCCGACCCAGCATAAAACAAGCCACGCCATTCCCTGACATTTTCGGATCGGTGATTCCTTTTTTCCCAAGGCAACGGCACGTAGGCTCTTCATCCCATATATTTACAGACCTTTTTCACAATGCAGATACTGGGCACAAACCATTCATTGCAAAGTTCATGTCAAGTCCGGGAATATAAGCAAATGTACGTCATAACTGCAAAATGTCTGCTCGAACACGGACTAATCCCTTCTGCGGATGCAAAGATTTTTATATGCGCTGTGGTTGTCTCTATGACGTCACAAAATGAAAAGATAAACTGTCCACTTGCGGTGATTCTCAGCTTTCTATTTAGAGGGTTCAGAGCTGCTTCATGACAACACATACACACTCTACATACCACACACAGACACACACACACACACACACACATTTATATATATATATATATATATATATATATATATATATATATATATATATATATATATATATATCCTTTTTTTATACATGTGAAATATGGACAATAAGCAAAAAGATTAAGATGAGCAAGATTAATTTACAGTGGACGTGGGGGATTTGAAAAAGATGCAAAATGCATGATGGAAGAATATGAAAACAAATGGAAAAATCTTCTTCAAAACTTAGGGCAAGCACAAACTGACTCGATCAGTTAGACGCAATCGCTGTTTTTAGACACACTTTCAGAAGTAACTGACCAGCTAGCTCTTTCAGGACCACGTTTTTTCTGTGGTTTAGACAGCATTAATTTTAAGCCGAATTTCTTTACTGGAACACAACAACACTAAAAACCTTTGTAAAGAAAAAGTACTGGCTGTATCGGAAAATTTTATATATCAAATTAATTAAAGATAAATGAGTGGAAAATAAATCTAAACTATGCAATTATCATTAATACAACAAAAGATTATTAAAATCACACACATTCAAGGATGTTAGACACACGTGAAGATTAATGACATAAACATTTTGTACTTACCTTACTTTTTTACTTGTTTAACAACACTGATATCCAGTTCTAAGAATTCCCGTGCTTTCTCTGTTCAATTATATATTAGTTGGTCTTTATCTGAAACAGTTAATTTAAATACTTTAGATGTTATGATCATTTTTGTATGACATGTCAAATTTCACGATAACCGAAAAACGGGAAAACAACTGAACGAAACATTGATCCAATTGAAATATTTTGTCCAGTTTTCAAATCCTAAACTAAATTATCTCCACTCAGAAATAAATCATAATATCA